GAAGCCTCCTCCTAGAAGGTAACAAGGAAAACAGACCATGAAGAGGGTGCGTAGCGTCCCAGACAATCCTGCGAATATAGCTTGAGCAATAAATCTTCTGAACTGTAACATGTATGCCCCTGATTTTTTTTGTGCCTGGCCAAGAATCAGTATAACTCAGTGTTTCTCAACCTTGGCAACTTGAAGATGTCTGGACTTCAAGTCCCAGAATTCCCCAGCCAGCATTCGCTGGCTGGGGAATTCTGGGACTTAAAGTCCAGACATCTTCAAGTTGCCAAGGTTGAGAAACACTGGTATAGAGTCTATTATGCAGGGCCTATGGAGAACTGCTCTTTAGTTCTGCCACCAGTTACACTTAGCGATGGAATGGCTTACCACTGTTTGTGAGTTGAAGTCTACCTTTAATCTATCCCGTGAACAAGACTCTTATTTATTTCAGAGTAGTCGCATGGTGTCTACCTCTGCTATAACCAAGCAAATATGTTTTAGACACTACGAATGACAGAGAAGATTATTTTGGCCAAATACCAACTCACAGACAGAACTAATGCCAACAATAACTTGGGCCAATTGCTGTATGTCTGATATGTAAAGGCATCCTATTAAGTATAGCTGCAGTTTCCCCATCTCTGCCACCATAGAGACACATGGCTAATGTTAAGTCTAATAATATACACTATTTATTGTATGCTTAGCTATTTTAAAACTCCACATATTGAGACAAACAGATTTCCTACAACAAGCCATATGACAAAATACTTTCCAAGCAGCAGAGAACATCAGAAGGAAAAAAAGACACCCACTTAAAAGCTGCTGATGTCAAGACATTCTTCTTTCTGCTTTTGCCCATATTTAAGGGATAGAATCTTTGCTACAAAACCGGGGGGGAAAAATCTACGTTGCCAGAGAGTTGCCTATAAAAGCTGGCCAAATTACAAATATTAGGCTCAAGAATGTGCTTCAGCTTTGAGATTATATTATATATATCCAGCTGGAATGCAGAAAGCAATAATAATTAAAGAAAAACCTGTAGCGAAATTATGTCTAACAATTTGGCTGTTGGAAACAGAAAATCCAAATGGATTCTGTTCGATCCTTGCTGGTGATAAAAATATAATTGGCGACAAGCTAATATATAGTGATGGTTTCCAATCTGCCATCTTCATTCTTGCGAGCACTGCTTCTTTTAAAACGTTTCCGTAGGGATTTAAAGCGTATATGCATAATTTGGATGGATATCAGGATTGATGTTATACACTTCGCCTAATAGACGACCAAGCATATTCTCTCTGTTCTTGTGATAATTATTACTGAGGTCCTGGATCTTTGCTGCAGTTTCTTCATCTATTTTTGTTGAGAGATTATCTTGAGAGCCCATTATCTGCAAAGACAAAACAAGATGTAATATGTAAGGTAAGCAGAAACGTCTATGCGAGTTTCAAAACAACTCATGTTCTTCTCTGTTTGTGATTTGTACACTCTTTTAACAGCAGGACACTGTTATTCAAAAACTCCTTCCTTGACTAGTTATCTCTCTTCCCATCTTGCCTCTCGTGGGGTGTCAGGATTCCAAGTTTATGGAATAGAGAGGTTTGTGTTGCGAATGTGTGTATCTGTCTATCTGAAGCTGCCCAAAGGCCATCATCAAGAGCCAAGGTGGCGCAGTGGTTAGAGTGCAGCACTGCAGGCTACTTCAGCTGACTGCTAGTTCTGCAGTTCTGCTGTTCAAATCTCACCGGCTCAGGGTTGACTCAGCCTTCCATCCTTCCGAGGTGGGTGAAATGAGGACCCGGAT